CAGCAGACGACGGAGAGGCCTGTGGCTCTGCAGCAGACGACGGAGAGGCCTGGAGCTCTGCAGCAGACGACGGAGAGACCTGGAGCTCTGCAGCAGACGATGGAGAGGCCTGTGGCTCTGCAGCAGACGGCGTGGGAGCCTGGAGAGCTGCAGCGGAGGCAGGAACCGACTCCTCTGTGGTGACGGCAGGAACTGATCTTCTGCGGCGGCGGCGGCGACGGGAAACAGAAACTGATTCTGAGGCGACAGAAGCAGGTGCACCAATGGCGAGGCACTCAGCAGGCGGAACAGCAGCGAAGGTGATGGGTCCAGGAGTCAGAGGAGCAGAGGAGAGTTCAGGGTGTGTATAAGTGACCTTGGGTGTGAGGAGTGACCTAATCTTTATTAATAAATGGTTATACTCAGGGAGCTGAATGAGGCCGGGACGTGAAACTAAGGATTCTTCCATCAGGGAAAATAAAACATCTGAGCAGTCCGGGTTATTTTTAGCAGAAGTAAATAAATCTAGTAAAGTCTGGTTTATTTGGGCTAATTCATGGGGTGAATACGTGATTGATGGGCCAGTGTCTTTAAGTGAGGGTGTGGAGTCAGGTGTCGCCCCCACCGGAAACTTGAGAGGTGGGGCGGCGGAACACGCCCCCACAGAGTCACTGGAAGAATGCCCCAGAGGTACAGACCGGCCGGGTTGGACAGCCGCGGCGCGATGTGACGGCGAGAGGCCGGACTCCGCCCCCACCAAGAACCTGGAGAGTGAGGCCACGGAATCCGCCCCAGTAACGTCAACCGGACCGGACCCGCCGAACCGAGCAGAAGTGGACCGGAGCCCCCGCGGGACGTCGGACCTCGCCCCCACCGAAAACCTGAGAGGTGAGGCGGCGGATCCGGCCCCCACAGAAACACCGGAACCAACTCTAAAATTCTGCTCAGCCGGCGAAACCGGCCCAGTCGCCGCGGGCTGCCTTCGGGACCGCTTCCTACCTCCCGAGCGACGACGGGTGAGTCGAGGGACCGGAACAAAACCAAACTCCTCTTCGAGCTCTTCGTCCTCCCCCGACGTCCATCCCGAGTAGCCGGGCGAAGCGGACTCAGAAACCGTGGTGCGGTGGCTTCCCCGGTACCGAGCTCTGTCCTCCTCGAGGACCAGGAGTGGAGAGGACAGGATTTCCACCTCCTGGTCATAACATCCTTGTGGATGGACGGGCTTAGTCCAAAACCCGCCGCACCGGATTGTGGATCTACTCATCTCGAGGCTCGGAGGAGAAAAAGAAAAAAGGTGAGCTGCCGAGAGAATCCTGCCCGCTGGGTTCTAATGTGTGGTTCGGGTCGTAATGTCAGGATTTGGTGGTCAGGAACGAACCCAGTAGTGCAGACAGGACTCAACTCGGCAGATTACAAAAATAAGTATTTTAATAGAAAATAAAGAACAAAATAATAGCTGACGTGGCAGCAAGACTTGCATGAAAATGGATGGCTCAAAGGGAAACTCAGGGAGGACTCAGGAAACTCAGGGAAGACTCAGAAGACGCAAGAGAACACAGGAGACCCAACGAATACGACCCGACAAAGGAACAACACAGAACAGGAGGCTTATATACAAGGACAGACCAGACGTGATTACAACAGGTGTGACGAGACAAAGGTGGCAACAATTAAACTGACGAGGAAACACTAGGGAAACAGACACAAACAGAAAACAGCAAATGGTACCATCCTTACAAATGAATAATCAGACTTCAAAAGTTTGGATGAAATTTTCCTTCTGATCTGTGTTTGTTCACAGGGAGGCAGGGGGCCACCAGGAGACAGAGGGGAACAAGGGCTTCCAGGGTTAAAGGTCTGTCTGTGATGAAGAACTTTATTTTTACAAATTATGAAGCAGCATGTTTATAAAAAACATTGTAATTGTTTGTGGCAAAATATGACTAAATATTATGACTGCTGCTTGTGGCAGCTGTGGCTGAGTGGTTAGAGCAGTCGTCCTCCAATGCAAGAGTTGGGGATTCGATTCCACCAGCAGTCACATGCCGAAGTGTCCCTGAGCAGCACACTGAGCCCGTCATTGCCTCTGATGTGTGTCCCATCAATGTATGAATGTGATAAAGCACTGATTATTCTTTGTATAAATATAGTAAAGTACTGTATGAATGGGTGAATGACAGTGGTGGAAAAAGTACTCAAGCACTGTACTTAAGTAAAAGTACATATAAACAGACAAAAATGTACTCTAGTAAAAGTAGAAGTATCACATTAATGTTTTTACTTGAGTAAAAGTAAGTAAGTACTTGCTTAAAAAATACTTAAAGTATTAAAAGTAAAAGTACTTGCTAAATGTATTACCTAATGCAATGGTCTACAGTATCATTAAGTGTGCCTACAGTATGTATATTTTCTGTAATACATTAATAGTGTTGTGTCATTTTAATGATCAATGCTGCAGATACACGTTTTTATTGTGTTTACTCTGTGACACAGTTCACACTTGGACTTGTGATTCTGTGGGTCAGAATTTTAGGGATGACATGCAGAGTTAAATGACATTAAGCAAAATAAGAAAGAGGAATGATTATACCTTTGAAAGTTTTTATTTAACACAAAGAAAAATCTATGTGTAATTTTAACTGCAGTTAAAACATTTAAGTAAAAGTTGTCTGCCTGAAAAAAGGAGCATTAGACACAACTTAGAAAGGAACAGGCTCTGATCATTTCAACTCCAGTTTGTCATCAGCTCTAGTTAAAATATTGTCTAGTCAACTTTGTAATGGGTCAATAGTGAACAATATTTTAACTTCCTGACACCATTTTCAAAACTTGGACCCGAGTGTTGAGCCATTTGGAGACAAGACGATTGGAGAAATCTCTTGTCTCCTAACATCCCATGAACTGACACATTTTAATATTGCAGCAAGAATTTCTTGCTAAAGTTCAGAAGAAGTTGGTTTTCAAAGTTTTTTTAGTCCAGTCTGGCTCCTTTGGGAGAGATAATCTGTTTTGCGGTACTGAATAGTCTTTCAATGAGGCCATGGGTGGTGCGTATCTTCTGGGTGACTCTCCACGGTGGAATCCATTTTGGGTGTGTTAGTGGTGCTGCCAGTGTGCCCAGCTCAATGACATATATACTAGAATATACATCATTGGCCCAGCTCTTCTTGAAGACAGATCTAACGTTACCTGCCCACTTTGCAGTGATTCAATGGACCAACTCCCCTCTCACCATTGGTTACTTTCAAACTAACAAACAAATCAAAATGCTGCAACATGAATCTAACGTGTAACACAAAACATTATAGAAATGTGATGTAGTACTTTGTAGAAAGTACAGATAGTTTATGTAAAATATAGTGAAGTAAAAGTCGAAAGTACCCACGTTTAACTCTACTTAAGTAAAGTGCAAGATACATGAAAAATGCACTTAAGTACAGTACATGGTTACATCCCACCACTGGTGAATGAGGACCCAGACTGTAGTGTAAAATGCGTTGAGTATCTTGATTAGATAGAAAGGCACTATGTATATATATATATATATATATATAAAAGGGCAGTCCATTTACCATGTTTACAGGGTGAGCCCGGTCCCAGAGGTTTATCTGGCCAGCATGGACCCTTTGGACCTGGAGGTGACACTGGACCAGCAGCAACCAAAGGCTTGAAGGGGCCTCAAGGACACACAGTAAGTATGGATATTGATGTGGTCAGAAATAATATTATAGAACATCATCAATCACAAAAATTACATAATGCAAAACATCCTACATCTCAAAATGAGACATGCACATTAATGTTTGATTCACGGAAAAAGAACAAAACCTCTTTCTATTGCAGGGCCGTCCTGGTACTGTTGGCTCTCCTGGACAAACTGGACAATCACTGACTGTATGTTACCTCAGTACACATTATAATGAAGGTTTCATGGAATCACAATGACCAGATTCATACTATGATGGGTTAAATATATGACATAGCCCTCTAACCACTAATATAATTAAAAATACTAAATTTATTCAAAAAAGTACTATTGGTGAAATCTTATATATTTAAGTATAAACTCTTAGCTAATTTAAAACAGACTCAGAGTTACTATAAGCAGAGTCTTCACAGTAAAAAGGAATATGTTTTTTGTTTGTTTTTAACTTTAGCATTATGCATTTACAAATTAAACTGCTGTGACAAAAATCACACAATATTTAAAGCATTTGGGGAATATAATTTCTCATTTTAGTACAGATACCATGTGTACCAAATAAAACATCAAAAGAAAACTAACTTTACTTGGCTGTATATTGTTGCTTCTTTTAGTTATTATGTTTAAAACTGTATTATCTTCACTTCCTGTTAATTTGAAGCAGCTGATGGTTTTCATTTTCATAGTTAGTTTTAAAGTAATGCTCCAGTTCCCCCCCCCCCCCCCCCCCCTGCATTTTTAATTTACTTTTCCTTTTTTTTTATTAGACTTTCAGCAAAATACACTTGAGTAAAAGTGAAAACACAAATTTATAAATTACTTAAAACATTTTCACAAAAACATTCTGCTAGAGAAACACAGGGACACGTTTGATACTTTACACTTTTTACTTTCACATAAAGCACAATAACATTTTTAAAGCAGTGTAATACTAGACTGACCACACAAAATCTGCATGTTTAATTGTTTATCTATATAATATATGTTCCAAGTCTAATTATTTGTGTGTGCAGGGCTTTCCTGGCATGAGAGGCGACAACGGCAAACCAGGAAACCCTGGAGCAAAGGTTTATTTATGCCATTTCCAAGCTTGTGTTTATTTTCCAACTACTGTGCATGAATCTACTGTTGTGTGACTGATTGTTGTAATTCAGGGCAGTTGTGGAGAGAAAGGCGTAGCTGGTCCTCCGGGTATTAAAGGAGATATGGTGAGATTTCATTGTTTCACTCTGGAAATTTTTCTTAGTTTTAACGTTTCATGGTCTGCTTGGAGGTATGACCATGATGTTTCTGTAACTTTATGTGTTTCAAAGGGTGTACAAGGTCAAAAAGGAGTAAAGGGAGAAACTGGGACCCCAGGCACATGGGTAAAAACAAGCATTTTTACTTTTAACTTTTTTTATATGCAATTCATCTTTTAAACGTTTTCATATAGGATAACTTTCTGTTAGAACCAGTTGTATACCTGGTCTTTATGATGGCGACCGACAAGTGAATTTTTATGTATTTTTAGGGCTCAGTGGGGAAGGTGGGGTTCACTGGGCCTCCAGGAGCTAAAGGTCAACCTGCACCTGCTGGTCCTCCTGGTTTTCCAGGAACCAAAGGAATTCAAGGACCAAAGGTAGGAATACGTGACCTTTGTAAATCTAAAATATATAATCTCTCAAAACTGATATTTTAAACATTAAATATGTACCTTTATTCATACTCATTGCAATATGCAGTCATTTATGGCCAACTGTACTTTTAAAAATAATTCTATGTGGAAACTAAGAATTATGACGTGTCCTGGTTTACTTCATGAAGGGGGGGAAAGGTCAACCCGGCAGGAAAGGAACCAAAGGAACTGCTGGGAATAACGTGAGTGTTACTTTAAAAAGACAACTCATCTGTTGATCTGATGCAGATATCAGATCAGGCACGTTTCACAAAACCAATTTAAGGTCTTTAAATAAGTAAGTTTTTCTACCTTTCAGAATTAAGCTCAGAGACTATTAATCACAGTTTATCTAAACTCACCATGATGCAGGACTGAAGGGTCATCCTGTTTTTGATTTTCTTTCTGTCACCATAAAATAAATACATCAGTCCAAATTAGCTCTGAGCAACAATAAAAATGGGAAGGTGTTGGGTTTTTTGCATGTTTTTTTTAAACAATTTTACTAAATATCATTATTTAGAACTTTTAATGTCATGTACAGGTAATGACTTTTGTCTATCTCCTTCAGTCAGTCATTTCTTCTGCTTTGCTGCATTTATTGGACAGAAGTTAAATGGAAAAACACATATGCTCATATAAAACTCAAAGCTTTTTTGTGGAGATAGAATTTTATCAAGTGAAAACTACTGTGCAGCACTCTTATTAATCAGGCACTTACCGTGTAGTATCCAGACAGAGGCAATGATTCACTAAAGGTCTTGAGAACATAAAAAATACTTTGATTGGAATTTTAAAAAGCATTAAACTTCCTAACCGCCTTTCAAATTCTACTAAAAATGTTGACCAAAATAAATTTATCTCTACAATCCAGCATGATGATGGCAGCAATACTCTGGGAATCATGTTTTATTTTATTTTTTCCTCCTAAAACAGGAGTGTGAAGATGAGTAAAGTAAGAGAAAAAGATAGAAACAGAAAAATTGTGGCTGGAGTGGCTGAAAAATGTTCCACGTGGCTGAAGACATCAGCCTTAAAAGTTTACATTTCACTAGGACAATGAACAATGCATACCTCTAAGAAAACACAGTGGTTCTGTGCAAAATGTCTGAATACCAACATAATAGAATAGAAATCAATAATTGTGTTTTGCACATATGAAATATAGAGCTTTCAGAAACATTTTAAACCAGGGTGTAGGGGGTTCCTGCAGAAACTATCATTCTGGTAATTTTGTCACAAAAGCTCTAATTTGCTCAAAGAAAATTAAAATGAAACACATGCACACACTTTTGTGACATTATGTTCACATATTGTAAAATGTATATTTTGTGTAGGGAACTGAAGGCCACACAGGAAGACCAGGACCTTCTGGACTGCCTGGAAATCCTGCAAGTATACACATTTGATGAATAAACCACAAGTGTCTCAATAAATCTCAAACAAACCTCATCCAAAGTGGTAAAAGGAACTGGTTTTACAAAATGAGTCGAACCAATTGTTTTAATTTGAGCTTCAGAAATATGCTCATCTTGAACATTTGTAACATGTTAAATCTTTTTTATTTTCAGGGCTTGAGTGGCTTGGATGGTTTGCTGGGGGTTCAGGGTAATGAAGGGGATCCGGTAAGACGAGATTGCAACACCTATGTTCAT